CCTTATAGAGATCCCCTATTATCCTGAACCAATTATATTCGTTTATATCCGTGCTAACCTTTAACACCCTGGGGGAGGTATAGTTATGTGTGGAAGATAGGATTCCGAAAAAGGAAATTTGTGGGTCTATAACAGAACTACAGTCGGAATAACCGGTTACTATAGTCGGAATAACGGCTCTCTATATTATTTTTATAAGTAATAATAATATCGTTAACGTAGAAGAACAGAATTAAACCATAATATAGGAAGTAATAAGGTTCCTACGGCACTATCTAGAAGCCGTCCGCTAATAGGATAGCCGAAAAGTGCTTTTACTAGAGTAATAAGGACTCCTTAAGCCTATATAACGCATTTTATAGGTGTAAATAACTCCTAGGGGCCGGAAGATCTAGTAGCGGGTATATAAAGATATTATAGGGGAGGAGCACATGTATAAACGCGTTTATAACGTCGAATTATAATAGCGTAAGGTTAAAATAGGCGCCAATTACTATTAACGCGCAGAATAACTATCCTCCTAATATAGTTATATACGTCTCCTCGAGGGAGGATTAATATTACTAAGCTCCTAGTACTACTAGCCTTACATTATAGTTATATAGAAAACTATGCTTATCGAATTTATGTATTATTATCTATATCGCGTTTAGAACCTAATTTCTATCTATTACGGACGCCGGTACCCGTATCCACGACCCTATCTCCTTATAGCTCCGTAGATAGTCTTCCTATACCTATCGGAATAGGCAGCCGTAAGGGTATAAGGGTATATTACGAGGGCTTTTCGGAGGAGGAAGAAGATCTTTATAATAGATCTTTAAGGCTAAGAGCCGCCGGGGCTATACTTCCCGAGGCAACTATCTAGGATATATTTCCCGAGACTACTATTAGGGCCGTGGATTTAAGTAATAGCGATAAACGCCACTATAGCATTATAGGAGTAGTCCTTTTTAACTATAATTTAGGTAGCGGAATCCTATCTAAGGTACGTATATTTAGGGCGTGGCGGCTAGCGTTCAATGCTACTACCTAACTATCTCTTTACTAGCTATCTCCTTACCGAATTAATCGCGCTCCTCTATTTAATAAAAGCCCTATAGCCATAGCTATAGGGGTATCGCAGCACCGTGTTCCTTTATCCTAGAACCCTATAGCCGAAACCGCAGGGGCATTATAAGTTTCTAATATAACGGCTACTATTAGCGCTATAACCGGTAGCAGGGTTACTAGTAAAGAGGGAAATAGCAGACTAAGTAGTTATAGATAGTAGTCAGGCGCTATACTAGCTTAATCACACCGTTTATAACCTAAATATTATCTATCTAGACTTAAGATAGCCTTATATACCCCCTCACGGACAGGTATTACGGACTATAATCTTAACGATACCGTCGAGGAAAGGGACCCGGGGGGAATCCGCCCCTGCAAGGGCAAGGGCAGAGGTATATTAAGCTCAAAATAAGTAGTTATATAAAGGGGGGAGGGGGGCGGTCCTTAGCTTATACGTCTATAAACGGCCGTGAATTTCCAGTCATCTTTCAATTAATCTAACTAATCAGGTCTTTTAGTTATTCCTCGGTTAATTAACGGAGGTTATCCTTCAAGGCGTTAATATCCCCGTTAAAGAAGGCGCGTTTATTAAAATCTATATCGCGCATACGATTAAGGCGGTTATAGCGGCGTAGACCGGGTACCTAGATATGGAAGATATTAGTGGAATCGTAGCCGATACGGTAGCCGATATAGATATAAGGAGATACGATTTAATAGCTTCTTAGTGCCTTTTTAAGTATCCTTAGTTATTACATACGCCTTATAGCCGTAGGCTCGAAGATATAATAAAATCGGCTTCCTTTCAAAGAGGACCTCGTATAGCGTTTTCTAATCCTTATTATTGTACTACCTTTATAGCGTGCGGTTATAAATATACGCGGCCGTGGGAAGAGCCTTAGGCTATATAAACGGCGGTAGCTATACGTGGATATTTATCGCACGACCTCTTAAGATCACTATAGTAGTAGTATATTTGGCACCCCCGATCTACGCTTAAGTATCGGACTAGATACCTCTAGAAGCATGCCCTCTTAGCGTAGAAATTAGGTGATATCGTGGGATTAAGTTAGCTCGTTATTAGCTTCGAAAACACATACCTTATAGTCTAATTAAAGGTCTACCTAGGCGAGGAATTCCTTAATTAGTATAAGGATATCCGCTACTAGTTTACTCTTTCTAACGTAGGTAGCCATAAAGCCACTCTAACGGTCGGTGAAAAATATAAACCGCGAATCCCTATCAGATATTCGTGTAAAATCCGTGAAATCAATCGCCCACTATTCCCCTACGTAGGTTAATACCGCGAGAGTCCCTACTAATATACCGTTTTATCTTTACAAGCTTATAGGCCACGTACGCGATAGTTATTAGTCCCTTTATCTTAACCCCCTACGTCTGCTCTTCTAGGTGCCTAAGCGGCTTAGGACTAGTATACCCTAGCTATAGATACTATAAGATACCCTCCGTAGTGCTTAGATATCGTATCGTCGATTTTCGGGTAGAAAAGCAGCCTAGAAAAGCAGCCGTAGATTAGTTAAAGGGCACGTATTTAATAACGGTTTAATCGAAGTGGTGACTTAGCTAGTATAATATAGATCCGTCGGTATAGCGAAGGCAGTTATTATTTAGTGGCTTCTGATCCTACTAGTATCCTCGTAGTCGTAACCATTAGTTTAAGATTAAATTATAGACAAAATCTTTATAGTATACGATATTTAATAGTCTAAATCGAGGCCTCCTATTAGTCCGTTTAATCTCAAGGTCACGTTACCGTAACTTTTAATAGGCATCAACGAACTACCTACGACTATATAGTCTCCCTGTATAATAAGGGTAAAAATAAGAAAACGGGAGAAATCGTTAAAGATATAGAGTATAGCCCCGGCATTAAGAATAGTAAAGGCTTAAAGAGGGTAGCTAGTAGTAGCGGCTCCTACGGTAAAGCTAGCGGCGTAAAAGATATTACTAGGGGCGAGTCACGCCTTTTTAAGCTATATAGAGTACCGACTAGTATCCTTCTTTACCTTCTTTATAGCAGGTAGTTCTTTTACTTCTATATATATCATTGGGTCGTATTTAAGGATCTGTTAGACTATAATTTTAATACTCTTCAAAGGCGACTAGTTATTATATACTATTTCCGGGAATTAATAAAAGCAGGCATTAATATCGTGACTAGGTATTATGTATACACGGTATATCTACCCTCTTTATAGGGTAGATTAACGGTGTTTAGAAGAGGAACGGTTAGCTAAAGTAGTAGAAGGTATGGCTACGGGATTCGTAGCTTTATTCTTTCTATAGCCTCCCTGCTTCCGGGGCTTAGCCGTGGTATCTAAGGTATCTTCGCACTCTTCGCTTCTAGTCTATATTGCCGGAAATACTATAGCGCAGTGGCTACCGTATTGTCCTTAGTCTTTAAGTCTAGTCTTAATATATCGTTAACTAAGGGTATAAAGGTCCTAGGGGAGAATTACTTTCTTATCTAAAAGGCGTTTCTCGGCTTCGGTCTAGTCGCGACTAGTAATTATACGTATCCCTTTAAAGAAGTCTACTATCTAGATATACATTACGGGCTTCGAATTGACGTCTTTAAGATATTATAATAGCTCCCACTATCTTAATAACCACTCTTATAACTTCTGAAGGGTCGTTAGCGCGCTATGGACGTGTTTATTATACTCTTCGTAGGTATTAACGCGGCGGGTAGTTATATAGTAAGTAGTATCGCGGCGGACGACTTTAGATATCTTTTTAGACGTAGTATTATATAGTAGTAGTTTACGACTTTAGTCGATAGTATTAGTCTACTGGGTTAAAATGGTACTAATACTCTTAACGTACTTAGCGTAGTTATCTCTCTATATCTTCTAGCGTTATATCGCCGAATCGTAGGCCAGCTGCCTAGTAGGTGTTAGATCTAACCACTATAAGGGCATAGCTTCTACGGGTATATACAAAGGCTAGAAGTTAGCGTAGGAAGGTAAAACAGGCCTTTAAGGAGGGGAAATAGGATCGTTAGAGCGTAGATAATCCTACACGTTATTATTAATGGTAATAGCTTTATAGTGGCTACGCTAGAGCTCCTAATCGCGATAGGATTTATAGATAATAGGCTTATACTCCGATATCTTAATATTTATAGATTAACACGCTATATCAACGTAGCTATATTACTTTTTACTCGGTAATAATAAAGGTAAAGGGTAGGCTTTTTCACTTTGTAAATAAGACTTTTAATTATCAGATAAAGCGTAGTCGAAATCGTTATAAAATATATCAAAATTAATTAAGGCAATTATATATAATTATAACTATATCGGACTGTTAGGGAACCGCTGCCACCGTGTTTTATATAGTGCAGATTCCGTAAGCGTCTACCCGGATTATACTCTTAGCAATCCGGCCCGTTACGTAATCGAAAAGACTATAGTCTGTTCGACAATCCACCTTCCGTGCCTGACCGCGTAATCGGCCGTTAGGTTATTCCACCCCTAAGGGAGGTGTGTGCGACAGCGGGTCCCCGTGATCAAATAGGGTCAAAATTCATTCAGATAATTATATACAATTATATAACCTGCAGGACCGTCAGGGAACTGCTGCCGCCGTAATATCTATAGTGAAAATTCTGCAGGTATATACCTGGATTACCGGGGTGACAATCCTTCGGTCAAATCCGTGCCCGTTACGTAAACGTGAAACTACGGTCTGTTCAACATAATCTTTCGCTGTCTATATCAGCGGGAGGACAGAGGGTATCTCGGCAAGAACAATATACCAACGCACGGCAACTAGGATCGTGCGCAGGGAGGAGAAACCGCATTGCCAATATGACCAATAACGGGAATAGAAAAATCAAGGCCCAATAAACAGTAAGAAGTTGCCATAAGCAACGAATATAAGAAGAGCAAAGCCAAGGGCGACGTGGCGGGGTTGCCATGGAATCAAAAACCATTCCCACGACGACGGCGGCCACGATTGGGACCATCCGGCCGCTGAGACAATACCTCCCGCAACAGCGGATCGTCCTTATGTTTATCTACGTGATGAACCCGAACATGTCTATTAAGTCGTGTCTGGGTTAGTCCAAGAGCACTCGGAATGGCCGCGCGAGGACAGCTCGACCTCGGATTAGATGCATGAACAAACTGCACATACCTCTGGAGATTGTCGGGACGAGGATACTTGTGGTCTCTGTCTGGACAAAAAGGACAGATATATCCTGGAGATTCGTGCACTAGGCCGTGCCTAATCATCTCGTTCTTTCTCTTGAAGCCCTTGCCCCCCTCACTTCTTGGACAACCAGTGACGGAGCAGTAATGTGGTCTAGCGGAGGAATGTACATTGGCGTGGGAGTTTAATAAATACTGGGTCTGAAACGGCGGGGCAGTACAGCCAGCGAACTTGCAGACAAAACCCCCGGACGGTGTGTTGTTCGGACCATCGATACCCATGGAATCAATTGCGGCTGTGGTTGTAGGCGGCATGGACGAATGGTCGCTGTTTCGTGTCGCCGTAACGACATTCCCCTGGTCAGCAGGGAATTTGAAAGGTCTGCCCCGCTGAGTGTGGTAGCACGCTAGAGCAAGACACTGCGGCGACAGGAGGCTATGATGAACGTATGTCTCGTCTGGCGACCCTGGGGGCGGCGACTGGTTGCTAGTCAACGCGGATCTTGTGGATAACGCCGGAATATTAGGCGGGGAGGAAGGTGGGAAGGCGGGGGTATGCGCCTTTCCGACGGTCATGTCATTGTCCTGGGATAGCTCAAGATCTCTAAAATGATGTCGAATGGACGGCAGGGGACCCTGCCCAATACTATCACGCCTAGGTGAGTCCATTTGCAATGGGGGCAACCCCTCCGAAGTCGGGCGTCCCTGTGACGTTGGAGATGTCGGGGCCTCATGATGGGAAAAGGCACTTGAAGTAAACGCGGAGTAAGAACCCGTTCTTGGACCACTGCGGTCTGGCGAGTCTACCAACGGCCTTCGATCACTGGAAGAGACTTGTCGACGGAAGGAGTTGTGAGATCTATGGGCATGATTCTTGCTTTTCTCCACGGGTTGACTCTGCACACTGCCCACCTCTTCAGAGGTGTGTGGCTCAACGCCGTGCGATGTCTCACGTACGACTGACTGAGTGGCTGTGAAGGCGAGGGCTCCGGCGGCTAGAACCTTTAGGTCCAGCGACTGGCGTTCAACCGGTCTCGGCAATGAGGTCGACATGACAAGGCCGGACGACCAGCTCTGCATGAACGGGGAGGAGGGGCAGGAAGGAGAGGAACGATCTTTGTCAGCGGGCAGTACGTCGAACTGCTCCGTAGTATTCACTAACTCGCTCGCTATATCCGTCCGCTTGTTGTCGCCCAGTATGTTGATTAAAACGACATCGCTTTGCTTCGAAGGCCCCTTTAGAGGATAATTAGACGCGAGCCTCAGAAGCTGGAGGTGGGACTGACAATTGAAGGGGGTTCATGTAACGGTGATTTTGGGGATCTCGCCAGCGGCTGAAAAGAAGCCATTCGAGGACTGTCGCGCGGAATAAGATCATCCGAGTCGTAATATTCAGTCGCGACGGTGATGTGCCTGATGCATTGATTGATCAAATTCGGCATTCTTCTCGTATTGAAGGGGCCACTGGAATGGGTTCGGTATTCACGTATATAGAATGGATGGGCCCGCCATAGAAGCTGAAGACTGGACGGAGATCGAGTAACGATATCGTTCGCTCAGAAATGGAATGCCACGGCAAACCGCGTCACCATCGCGAGAATAGGGACCGCATGAGCAGGTAAGGATGCGTACTGTTGCCGCGGTCAATGCGGTGTTTCTGGAGCTGGGAGGAGAGGCTCGACGCCGCCTGCCGGTTCCTCGAGACACGCTAGGATTTCGCAGTTATGAGCATAAATGGGCATGAGACAAAACAGATGACCGCAGGTCTAACAGTGCTAATCCCGTAAGCATGGGACATGAACCAGAAGTAGCTACCTGAAGGTAGTCGAGACTAGTGGTATAAAAGAAGCAGGTCGTGGAGGTCATACATGTTCTCGTGAAGCTCCCTTCACAAGCTATAGGGCTCCTCCCCGTCTTCACATCAGACCAAACTCAGACCCAAACTCGGGGGGGCGGGGGGCGGGAGCCCCTCAGCGCTGGCCGCGTGACTGCGTCCCGTCTAGTTGTCTTGGTTGGGTGGGAAAATGCGGGAGGGGGGGGGGGGGGGGGGGGGGGGGGGGGGGGGGGGGTGTCGAGTAACGGCGGCAGAAGCTCCGAGGTGTCGCACGTCAAATAGCACTTTATAGAGCAATCCTGATCGAGCAGAAATCTCGTGTGTGTGTATTAGATTAAGTTATGTCTATATAAGTCTCTTATACCCCTTAATTTAGGTAGTGAAGACTTTATTATAGGTACTATGTTATTTAGATCCTATCCGGTCTTTTCCGGTATCCGCCCCTAATATACCCTAATACCCGAGGTTCGAAGTATTAAATATAGCGTAACCGTAATAGAGTAAATATACGATAAGAATGGTCAGATTAAGAGGTTCTAAATTGATTATATTAAAGCCGTAGAGTCACTTTATTATATTAAGTTAATTAACTAGCTGTTTCCCCTCCCTGTAAGCTACCTAGTACACCACACACCCTTTTACCTATTTTCCCAATATTAGTAAAAAGCACCTATCCCGCCCTTTTTCCTTTACTCTTAAAGCGGCCTATCCTTATAGTCCTTATACTCGGGGATATATATTTCGGTTTCCTTACTCTAGATATAACCCCTTACAGGAAGAGTGATCCGATAATACTTAATAGTCTCCCCTTCTAATACTTAGCGCTGTCTTTAACCCTTTAGCAGTGGTTATCTAGTTTAGTGTTATACCGATATATTAGTGCCGGAACCATAGCCGGGATACTGTTATAAGCTAAGATACCTTAACCTCCCGAGGTATTACGTTACTAGCGAGCCACCTAGTAATAAACGGCCTTTATAGTAATAATATAAATACCACGCCGAGGAGACTATAAGGGCCGGTAATTATTATCGTGAATCGACTAACGTAGTACTATACTCTACTTAGGAGAAGGATTACGGTAACTAATATCCGGATACTGATTATCTAGCTAGGAGACCTCTTAATCACCTTATTAAAACTATCTTCGAAGGGTATCGTCGCGATATATATAAGCGGACTCGTGTAATTAGTAGTTATTATAGTCTAGGAACTCTTCTCTACCCTAGATTAATATATACTCGAAAAAGGGGTATAAAACTTATTATTAACCCGATAAGTTATAGCTATCTAGTATTTATTATAATACTAGTAGGGGCCCTTATTAATAGTGCTATATACCTGGATTAGGAGTGTCCTAATAATATAGGGCTGCTAGACGATCTTTATAAGATATTCTCTTTAAGGACCCGTTATATCCTTTATCATGAAGACTTAATAACGGAAAAGGGGTAAACCGTTACTAGTCTTTATCTTTATAAATAAGCTAACTTTGATATTCCTAAGGTTAAGAAGACTATCCTAGACCCGCCTAGTAACTACCGCCTTACTGTCTCTAGTAATTTACGATTATAGGAAGTCTAACTCGACGTACGATAAGCCACCCTTACTAGCCACTTTATACTAGCCGAGATAAGAGTTTACCTCTAGATTATTAGTCCCTTTATAACCCGATTAGGGTAACGTGTATATAGAATCGATAAAAGCCTACCACTATATTCACTAAAGTCACTCTAAAAGAGTATTTCTTATAATTCTTAAGGGGTAGATAAGCTATAGGCTAGAACTAAGGAGTCGGTTTAGTAGATTACTAACGGCCGACTGCCTTCTTCCTTTTATACGACTTAGTCTTATTAAGTAAGTCCCCACCCCGCCTTCTGGAACACCCCCCATTTGGAACACCACTTTACACCAAAACACTACTTTTTGGACCCCTGCTATTTTATTAAATACAATAGTAAATATTATGGCAATAAAACCATAGATAGACTATAATTCCAGTATTAATATTCTATTTATATGTTTAATATAGGTTCAGTAGAAGAGCTATAGAATAGCTTAGAAGTTAAACATTTAATTTTGTTAGTGTTACCATACACTATATAAGGAATCCTAAACAAATAGAAGTATATTAATTATAGATTAACCAGTATAGATATAGCTATAAGATAAGTATTAGAAATAAGCTCGAAGTCTATGCTATATATCTCTATTACCTATCTAATACTATATATTCTGGTTTCTATAATATAACTAAAAGTAGACTTCCCCTACTAAACCTTCGTATAGGCTTACATGTATTACTTAACAACTTCTCGAATACTGAATACTTCTTTATAAGGGTTTTATAGTCGTATCTATAAAACTTCGGCTATATCCTGATACTGGCTTTATACTTCTCACGAGTAACACTGATCTATTATGAATATTCTTATTTATATTCTACGTTAATAAGAAAACACATACGAAAATAAATAACTATTCAAGTCCTAACTTCTAAGCTATAGTATAGCTCCTCTACTAGACCTATATACAGACTATAAACAGAATATTAGTACTTGACTTTGAGTCTATATAGGGTTTTACTTTTATGATATTTACTATTTGATTAACTAAAACAGCAGAGGTCCAAAAAGCAGTGTTTTGGTGTAAAGAGGTGTTCCAAATGGGGGGTGTTCCAGAAGGAGGGGGGGCGGACTTATACTAATTAGCCATTTAGTCGTTATTATTACTATCGTTAGTTACTATTTATATAGGTAGTACGTGTGTTCGTATTTACCTTAATATTATAGTAGAAGAAGAAGAAGAAGAGGAGGGATAATGCTAGAGGGCTCGCCTTTTAAGCTTAAAGGAACAAGTAATTCAGGGAGGTTACGAGCCTCGTTATTACTATAATCTATAAAGACAGCTATGCAGTTACAGCAGTTATAAAGGGGTCTTTGTCTGCTATAGCTTCGAGGGGTAATTCACTATTTCCCCCTTTAGATCCCTTATTCCCGAGTCACGGCTATGCCTATAACTCAAGAACGCAGGAGCTATTTTATCCGATCTTTTTAACTAATCAGAGCCCGGATTTCAACGTCTCTTTCCTGATTAGAACCTTCCTGTCGAGTTGAAGTTACTATCGCTATAACTAAGGCACGCCTCCTTTAATTAATTAAAAGACTCCTTTATAGATAGTAGTTAAATAGTAATACCTACTATAAAGGAACTCTTAAGGCGAAGGCTATGACGGAAGTAGGCATTTTTAAGCTTATTAGAGGAGGATAAATATCTCTCGACCTCGAGCTCTAAGGATCTCTTTTCCTCTTTTCCACTCTATAGTTTTTGACTAGCCTTTTGCTCTCGGCTATTACCCGTAACTACTAACCACTATTCTATAGTAATAACGTTTTAATCCGATAAAGAGAGCTATACGAATAGTAGGCTCTCTTAGTAAACTTATCGGTAACAGTTATAAGCGAGTCGGACTAAAAGAAGCTCTCCCTCTAATAAGGAGGATAAGCTAAGGGGGCCTTAGGTATACCCCGAATATTAGGATTAGTCTTTAGTACAGATACTAGTTTTACACTTTTCCTCTTAGGGCTACTACGCCGCTAGCCTCGGCTATTCTCGGTATATTTAGCTATTTTAGTTAGCTAGCCCACGCTAGGAGGAAAATATTCTCCGCGAAGCATAGGTAAAGGGAAGATTACGGTAAAGGGAGGTCGGCTCCCTTTATACTCCGCGGGACAAGGGGGAAAAAAAAAGGGGGGGGGGGGGTCATAAAGTGGCTTTATACTAGGGTAAAAAGAAAGGGGGGATTATCGAGTAGTTTAGTGCTATAGTAGGAGGGGGGGGGGGGAATTATTAATAGGTATTAGAGCTCGGGATTATTCTACGGTAAATGCTAGTATAGGTTAGTATAAGCGCTATCCCTACGCGTAACTATTAACCGTAGATTCTTTAGTATACTCCGCGGAGAAGAGGAGGAGGGGGGAAAGGTTAATACGCCCCGTGGTTCTTTAGTCGAAGCTTAGGTTCTATAGAGGACGTTAGTATATAGAATAGTATAATCGTTATCCTTCCCCTTAACGGTTATTAGAACGGTTATTTTTTAGCGATTATTAGGAATATTAGTAGTATATCGGAGCTAGGGATCTATAGTGGTGCTAGTATATATTAGTATAGGCGTTATTCCTATACTTTATCAGCGACTATAGATTCCTTAGTCTACTCTACGCCTAGACTTACTAAAGGGGAGGCGATTAGGGGGGGGGGGGGGATTATCGAGTAGCTTAATACTATAGTAGAGGGGAGGATATTAGTATACCCTATAGTTCTCTATCAGGACTCTAGTTCCACAGAGGACTCTAGTATATAGGATAGTATAGTTATTATCCTACGCTCTTAGGCGATCGTTAAGAAGGTTAGTGCCGGTGTAGGTTAGTAAGGTCGTTATCCTACGCCGATTAGCGATTATTAGGAAGGATATCGCAGTGTTAAAGCTCGGGTTCCACGGCTAGTATAGGTTAGTATAGTCGCTATTCCTACGCTTAACGGTGGTTTCCTTTATTACTCCACGCCTAGACCTATTAAAGGGGAGGCGTTTTCGCCTAGCGCGCCTTATATCTATTTAGTCTTAGTATACGTAGTCCGCGCTATTAAGGGCGGCTACGCCTAGCATACTAGCGTTCGCTAGTAAACTATATACCTATTTAGTCTTGGTATATATAGTCCGCGCCGGGCGGCGGTATATA